CAAACAACCTTTTTGGGTGAGAAAACTGTCAAAATGTTTTTGCATTTTATGAAATCTTTTATGACATTCAAGCTATCTGACTTGCAATTTCTTATTCTGCAAAAACTATTAGTTTGCTAGCATGCATAAGCTGATTACCCCATCTCAAGTTGTTCGGTTCGATTGCTAAAAATAAATAATGTTCGACTGTAGGATAGTTGAAAACTAACCTATTGTCTATTTCATTGTATTAGATAGAAGTCATTATAGATGAAAAAAGGAGTTGGGGCCTAATCATCATCATGATGTTGCCAGGGCTTGTACCCTACAATGAGGATTAGTCACTACAGAAGCCCTATAGTAATCACTTTGTGTTTTATTTGATTTTTATGTTCTCCACTAAAAGTTTTGAATTTTTCGATTTTATTGCAAAAAGCATACGAGTCTTATAGTTTTGAGGCATCTTCCAAGGTGAGAAACATTGTAGAGCTGGAAAGCCTGTTTCATGTGAAATCTGAATGAGATCTTGAATAGGTAACAGTCTGGGAACAAGCAGCAATTACTTTCCGGAGTAAAGGAAACAGGTTCTGGTTCTGAGTTTGTTATAATAAGTTAGCTCGTCTAGCCTGGATGAAAAACTTATAATACATTTTACAACAGATAGCAAATGAAAAAACAATATGAATCAGGCATACTTAGCTTATTTTAAAAGGAGAATGAAGACGAGTTGAGATCTATGCTACACCAAATTTATTTTCTGTGCCTCCTTTTTTTGGTTTGGGTTTAAGGATCATGTTAAGCATACCTTGAGTACTGTTACCTTATATATATTACTTTAACCATGTTGCTATCATTACACATGGTTATACCTTTAGGCCATTTAGTTTAACATGTTAACAGAATATTTGGGTACTTTAACGGAGTTCCTCGGCCCCCTAAATCTGCAAAGGGGAGAATGCTCTTAAATCTGTTTTTGAATGAATTTTCACTGATCAAAACAAAGTATATTTAACCATAAAATTAGTGAGTTGGAGAAGGAACTGGAGAATTATTTGCAAGCTCTCTTAGTTTTTTCAATTCCTGCAGGATCCACGAGAGGACGTCATTCAGGCATGGTACATGGATGACAGCAATGAGGACCAGAGGCTTCCTCATCACCGTGAGCCAAAGGAATTTGTGTCTCTTGACAAACTTGCTGGTAAAGATCAGGCTAAGTTTTATATCTATTTAACTTATCCATGAGGAATAGAAAAACCCTCTTCATCCTCCCTCTCAAAAATACATCGTGTGGGTTTTGGGGCCAGTTTATACTTTTCCTCCAATACCTTCAGATAAGTTTAGACTTCTCTGGATTAGGATCTCTACCTGGTAAATTGTTGTTAAGTGGATAAGTTACTTTCCAGTTAATATTGCTAATCTAATTTTAATTAACTCTCTTGGTATTTTGGGCGTTAGAAATTGAATAGGTGAAAATCTTTATTATGTTGTGATTGGTCGGTGAGAATCCCATGTGGATAGGATGTAGTATCTTTTTTCCAAATTCTAATCGGATACTTCATCATATGATGAACAAGGAATAGTAAAAGTGAACCAACCCTTAGTGTAGGTAGTCCTTTTCTTTTTGATGACGGAGAAATTCGTTTGGGGCCGATCCGTAGGACCAACCACAGCCGTTGTAACTCGGGCATAATGGGTCCTCCTCTCTAACCTTTTCTACTTAAATACTGGGCTTACTTCGCATGCCGTAGGGCTCGAACCTGTCACCTAAGTCACAAGTCCCTTAACCTTTGCAACTTGAACTAGGCCGTCACGGCATAGTGTAGGTAATCCTTACAAGTTGATTGCTGGATTTGCCCTGCCTTCATACTCCCTTCATAATTACTCTGTGAATATTTCAGAGCTTGGAGTGCTCAGCTGGAGACTTGATGCTGACAATTATGAGACAGACGAGGAGTTGAAGAAAATTCGGGAAGCTCGTGGCTATTCTTACATGGTATGTTAAAGTTACAAAACGGTGACCTTTCATCTGTTATATTGGTATATCTTGGTCCCTATCTTTTAAAGTTTTGAGAAATACCAAAGCATTAAGGGTTCACAATTTACTACAGGATTTCTGTGAGGTTTGCCCTGAGAAACTACCGAATTACGAGGAGAAAATCAAGAACTTTTTTGAAGAACACCTGCACACCGATGAAGAGATCCGTTACTGTGTTGCAGGAAGTGGTATGATTGCAGTAAATTGATTGGACTTTGCAAGTCCAGCTGCCCACTATACTGCTGTTTCTAAATATATATACTTCTGTGTGTAGGTTATTTTGATCTCCGGGATAGGAAAGATGCCTGGATTCGTGTCTGGGTAAAGAAAGGTGGAATGATTGTTCTGCCTGCTGGAATTTATCACCGCTTCACACTTGATTCAGACAATTACATTAAGGTACTTCTTAAGAGCATGCATTAACATATATGGTTAATGACGAAAAGAGCACCACCATTTTCTTTTTATTGCTTCACCTGTCAAGACACGTTTTTGGCACTTACTCTTGATTGCACTTCTTGCATGGTATATTTGATCAGAGGAACGGTTTGCAATTGTGTTGGTAATAATATTTGGTTTGTGTAGGCAATGCGCCTCTTTGTTGGTGACCCAATTTGGACTCCATACAATCGCCCACATGACCATCTCCCTGCAAGGTCTGTTTCTAGGCACTTGCTATACTCTATTTTTACGTCTTGGGCGTGGAAGCTAATGAATGTTTTTTGATAATGCAGGAAAGAATATATTGAATCATTTGTCCAAGCAGAAGGCGCTGGCCGTGCAGTTAATGCTGCTGCTTAAATTTACTAGAGGCGAAGAAGTTGAAATCCTTATAGGCTGTAATAAATGTTACCATATGGTGGTTGTGTGATTCCTGAAGTGTGCGCCTCGCTCAGCTTGTTGAATGTTGTAATTCGAGCACTAAATAAATCTCCTATGAGGAAATTGAACCTAATAGTTATATACAAGTGGAGTCTATGTTGTGAATTTAAACACTTGTGCTTGTCGAGTGGTCCAATATTTCCTGTTTGTGGGCGTAATTAGCTCTGCCATTTTTGTTGTTGGATGTCAATGACATAAACTCTTGAACTTGTTCTGTGTCCAACTTCTTTCCTTTTGCAGAATCCTCTCTGTAGAGTTGCAAGAAGATACAGGTACATGTTACTCCTAATCCGATTTATTTATAAAATCTTTACTAATTCACCTTGAGTATGATTTGGCAAATTCTTTGTTATCTATATATAATTTGGGGATATACTTATCCATTTAAACTATGCAAGTATGTCGCTGGCTTGGTTTGGAGTGAGAATTTTTTTCCTTTTAATTCAAAGGAAGGATGGAAAAATATTTCTGATCCTCTCTCTCTCACACAGCAATAAACTTACCCATTTAAAGTGGCAAAAGTGTATTTCAGAAATAAATAAAAATAGTAGAAGCTCTCGACGCTGCTAGACATTTTAGACAGGACCAACACTTGTTTGTTTCATTGGATTTTGGAGTAGCTTGTGTTGGGATAAGTGGGGGCCTGGGATCTGCCCTTCTTCTACATTCATCTGATACCTCAATTAAAATATTACTGGATATCGTTAGATAGTAATAGTATTATTTTTCTAATCAACTAATCATGCCACTTTTCAGCTTTTCTTTCAATGCATAGATTATAATTGTAACACGTGCACTGCTTTTATTTGCCTTGGTCAGATGTTGATACCTTTTTTTGGTAACTAAAAAAATTTATTTACTTGGCTTGGTCTGATCCAGATACCTCTTTTTGGTGACTTAAGAAAATTTTAATTTACCAACTGAGAATTATGTACAAAACCAGGACATTACACAATTATTGTTTAGCGTTACTTCGGTAGAGATGAATATTTCAAGGTTGTGATAAATTCACCAATCCTATTGAGTCTTAGCTAATTCCCCTTCAAGTCGAATTGCTTATGGTTGCTAATTGACCAGATTATATGTTCTCATAGTATTCTATCGAATTACTATGCACCCGTCCAGGATAGTTTAATGCCTATATTTCTATGAAATTAATCTATCAAAGATGCATTAAGATCACAATATTCAATTAAATATGGTGACTAGGTATAATTCTATTCTAACTACAAATCCGTCCCCTAGTTTTAGAGATAAGATCATGCTTTCTTTAACTCTTCTCTAATCTAAAAATGACTCTTTTCAAGCAAAATTAAGATAGTTGATAGAGCTTAACTGTTGGCCAGACAATCAAGCAATTGAGTACAGAATTAAAAAATAATCATATAATAGCAATTTATATAAAGGCAAAAGTAGTAATTAAATATCAATATTCATGGCTAAACCCAGCCCCAGAATAAAGGGACTTAGCCACGCATAATCATCATAATAAATTCGTAAGTATTTGAATGATTAAAGTACTAACAAAAAATAAAGGGATAATATATAATTACTCCAATGGGGTTTAACCAATTTGACATACGCATCCTTTATCTTTGCAGGGGTCCTATGACCCCCATCTATGCTTGAAGTGAAATTATTACCCCTTTTTTGACAAGCACCAGTTTCACACAGATATGTAAAACACACGCACCAACTAGGTGATGTCACGTCACTTTTAAATACTACTTTTTACTTTCTTTTTATTCACTATTTTTTCATTTTACCTTTTATGTCCTTTCTCTCTTTTTCTCTCATTTTTTTTCTTTCTTCTTCTCCTGTAACCTCTGCCATAGCACACCATTATTAATGTAGCCACCACCCGTCATTCTCCGCCAAACCTCCTTTTCTACCGAATCACCCCCACTCTCAGCCCTTTTCTTTTTTTTTCTCCAACTAAGCCCATCACCGAATCCCTCGCCCCTCCCCCCCCCCCCCACCCCACCCCCCAAAATTTGTCAGTTTTTGTAAAGTTTTTATTTGATTGAAACTCGAAGCCTCAATCTCTGATTTTAATACTCAAATCAGTCCCCACTTTTCGCATATTCTCCTTGGGCTTTAAGAAATCCAAGTAGGAAAGGTTAGGATAGGTTAAACATTAATTGATCAAAACAAAAATAAAACAAAAAAAAAGAAAAAAGAAAATGACTGATAATTAACGTAAAAGCTAATGACATGATAGTGGTTATAGAGGATGAAGGCGGCGGGCTGTATGTGGGAGAAGCAAAAGGAAGAAAGAGAAAAAATAAAAGAAAAAGAAGAAAAGGAAAAGAAAATATAAAAATAAAAGTAAAATAAAGTAAAAAATACATTTTAATTTTTAAAAAAAGGGAAAAATACGCTTAGTTTTATCCTCTCACGCGCTACTTTAAAGTGCAAAATATTCTCCCTACCACATAAGCATAAAAGGGGGTAATAATTTCACCTCAAATATGTACAAGGGGCTTATAAGAACCTTGCAAAGATAAAAAAAGTGCATCCGGTAAAATGGCTCAACCTCAATGGGGTAATTATGTATTATCCCAAAAATAAATAGTAGAAGAATTCTCTAATTCTTGCTTCAGCTTGCTCACAACATGCGTTTTGCCTCCAAAGTGTCGTATTCCCCTCAAAATTAGGTTTAAAAACCCTTTTCTCCTTTTGTACGAGTTGGGTGTGTAGGACCGAAAGAATCTTGTCCCAGGCGGAATAGGACAAATCTCGGACAGAGAGTCTTGGCCAGCGCGTCGCGCTAGGCTGGGCGCTGGACCCTCTTTCTGCTCTTGTTTCACTTGCCCACAGCGCTACAGGCAACGCCTAGCACTAGTTTTGACGATGGGCGTGCACCTCGTTCAATTAATTTCGTTTTCCACTTCAATTTGACACATTCATCCCTTGTTGCTCCCAATCGATTCCTACATATATAAACACAAAAATTAAGCTCAAATAATTACAACACACATACAAATAGATGAGATTCAAGTAAAATATAAGGCGACGTGCATACCAATGCGTATACTTTTAGTCGAAGATCAACACCAAGCACTTAACTCTTGCACGCGAAGCCTCAATTCACATCAAATAACGCAAAAACCACAAATCGCACCCCAATTCAAGCCTAATGAACTAATGAACTTCCAACTTCTAGAACTAATGTCGAATCACATCAAACCAACTCGGGTTGACCTCAAATTTTGCACACAAGTCATAAATGAACAATGGACCTACTCCAACCAGAACCGAAATCCGAACCCGATATCAACAAAGTCAACTGTCAGTCAAACCTTTCAAACTTCTAAACCTTCAACTTTCCAACTTTGGCCAATCCAAGCGAAAATGACCTACAGACCTTTAAATCAATATCCGAACATATGTCCGAGTCCAAAATCGCCATACGAAGCTTTTGGAACTATCAAAACTCCATTCCCGAGTCGTCTATTCAAAAGTCAAACTCCGATCAACTCTTTCAACTTAAGCCTTCAACCTGGGACTAAGTGTCCAATCCGCTCCAAAACCTCCCAACCAATCAAACCACCTTGGCAAGTCACATAACCGCAAATAAGCATAGAAGGAGCGATAAGTAGGGGAACGGGGCTACAATCCACAAAACGAACGGCCGAGTCGTTATATTTTTCCCCTCTTAAACAAATATTCGTCCTCGAACGGGTTAGAATCATACCCGGAGTCTCAAATAGGTGTGGATAGCTGCTCCTCATCTCCCGCTCGGTCGCCCAAGTAGCCTCCTCGACTGGCTGACCCCTCCACTAAACTTTCACTGAAGCTATATTCTTTGATCTCAACTTTCGAACCTGCCGATCCAAAATGGCCATCGGACCCATATCATAAGTCAAATCCCCATCTAAATGCACCGTGCCGAAATCAAAAACATGAGACGGGTCACCATAATACTTCCAGAGCATAGAAACATGAAACACTGGGTGAACACCGGATAGACTAGTGGCAATGCAAGCTTGTAGGTCACCTCTCCAATCCTCTCAAGCACCTTAAAAGGTCCAATATACCGAGGGCTCACTTTATCCTTCTTTCAGAACCTCATCATACCCTTCATGAGCGAAACTCTGAGTAACACCTTCTCACCCACCATATATGTAGCATCACAAACCTTGCTATTAGAATAAATTTTCTATCTAGACTGTGTTGTACGAAGCCAATCCTGAATCAACTTGACTTTCTCCAAGGCATCCCGAACCAAGTCAGACCCAACAACCTAGCCTCTCCCGGCTCGAACCAACCAACTAAAGAACGACACCGCCTCCCATATAAAGCCTCATCAGCAGCCATCTGAATACTCGATTGGTAGTTGTTGTTGTATGCAAACTCTACAAGCGATAAGAATTGATCCCGAGAACCCCCGAAATCCATAACACAGGTGCGTAGCATATCTTCCAAAATCTAAATGGTGCGCTCGGACTGTCCCTGCGTCTTGGGTGGAATGTTGTACTCAACTAAACCCGTGTGCCCAACTCTCCAAAACTGCGATGTGAGTTGCGTGCCTCGATCAGAAATAATGGACACTGGAATACCATGAAGACAAACAATCTCATGGATATAGATCTAAGCTAGCCTCGCTGAAGAATAGGTGGTCACAACCGGAATGAAATGTGCGAACTTAGTCAACCAGTCCATAATCACCTATACTGCATCAAATTTCTTCAAAGTTTGTGGGAGACCAACAACGAAGTCCATGGTAACACGGTCCCAATTTCACTTGGGAATCTCAAGTCTCTTAAGAAAACCGCCCTGCCTCTGGTGCTCGTACTTCACCTGCTGACAGTTCAAACGTCAAGCCACATACTCCATTATATCTTTCGTCATTCTTCTCAATCAATAGTGTTGCCTCAAGTCCTGATACATCTTGGCGGCACTCGGATGAATGGAATACCGCAAACTGTGGGCCTCTTCAAGAATCAACTCACGTAACCCATCCATATTGGGCACACAATCTGACCCTGCATCTGCAACACCCCATTATCTCCAATAGAAACCTCTTTAGCATCATCGTGCTGCACCGTGTCCTTAAGGACATGTAAATGGGGGTCTTCATACTGACGGGCTCTGATGCGCTCATACAAGGAAGACCGAGAAACCACGCAAGAAAGAACCCAGCTAGGCTCTGAAATATCTAACCTCACGAACTGATTAGCCAAAGCCTGAACATCTAATGCAAGCGGTCTCTAACCAACTGGA